TTTAAAAGGAAGACTGTGATAGTGCATTCCCCATAGAAACAAAGAATGGGAAAAAAGAATAATAAAGGCACCTCAGCTTTTTCTCATTTATGTAGGACAGTCTTATAATATGCATCCAGATATCCTCCAGTCACAGAAGCTGAAAATTGTTCCACTTTACTGCAGTTCTGTAACCATATGGGAACCAATCCTGTCTGTGTTCTGTGCACATCCAAAATTCCTGCTGAATGACCCACCCTGGGAGCGAGTTACCAGTGACCCAGGGTTGGGGTGGCAGGAGGGTGCAGTTGGGGGTGGGGGCGGGAGAGCCCAGAGCTGGGGTGGGGGGGCAGCCAAAAATTTTTTTGCTTGGGGCAGCAAAAAACCTAGAGCCGGCCCTGACAGGAACAGGTGTCTGTCTGCACGAACCCCTTGAAGGATCAGGGGGTCTTATGTGTGCACTGTAGACAAGCTAATGAAGTTGAATTTTTTTTATAAAGTGGGCTCATTATAACTTTAATGCTCTGTCAAAGAAGTAGTAATACAAGCGTAAAACATTTCTACTATTTTCCTGTTCCAAACTTGGAAATACTATTATTCACACAACACCCAAAAGCATGCAAGGTGCTCCACAGAGATAAATATAAAGACAAGATCTCGGTCCTGAAATGCTTATAATCCAAAGCCACTTGATACTACATCAGAACCCACTAACATGGATCTTTGCACTCATATGGAGTCCCATTGACATTAGGATTGAGACCTAATTTTAGCTGAATAACAACAAACAATAGGGGTGGGTGTGAAGAAAGACAATGGGTTATAATAATAGCACATGCTCGCTCAGCTTCAGTGTGTTCACATCTTGATTGTTCTATTAAAGTCATGATAAGGTTTTAATGGTAAATTAAGTAGATATTTATCTATAAAGGAAACCATGTGCTCTTTCCTCCTCCCCCATCCTCTCCCACCCCTTCTGAACTTTTCAAAAGAAAAGGTCACTATTTTCTGTTTGTGAATTATCTGCTTCCACTGCACCTGCTAATGCTGGTGATAAGAAAGGATGGTGACTAGAATGACAGCAACAACAACAAAAATCTACAAAAATATACTTTTGATATTAAACCATTTAAGGAAGAAACAAGCCACAAATACACTAGATGATCAATGGAGAGATGTGGAATGACCATGCCTAGAACTTTTTGGCAAAATGATTCCAACTATGGTTAGTGTAAGAACATGTTTAAACACTTTGGGTGAAATTCACCCAATGCCAGGGCCAACAGAAGGTATATGGCAACAAATAAACCCCACTCAAGTGTTATTGTGTGGACTAAAGTGTGCCTTACTGCTGTGCCTCCTTTAAGGGCATCAGTTTTCACCTACTGTGCAGTGTGTCTTCTAAAGAGTCAGCTTAATGGGCTGCAAAATAAACACTATGCTCCCCAGCCTTCAAGAAGAAGGCCTCCGAGATGGCGGTAGACCTTGGTGATGAAGGAAAAAAGTGTGTAGGGAGGAAGGATTCATAGTGTGGGTGAAAGACCTAGACTCTGGATAGTTATTCAAACTTTTTGAGGTTCATCCACTACTACTTGCAAGGGCTAAACTTTTGTGCCATTATATTTATAGCTTTGGGATGGAACTGACATACAGAATTGATTTTTTTCAGTACATCATTTAAGAGCTCAACACAAAGTATAGTCTTAACATGTGCTAATTTCTTTCAGAATTCCATGGAATATGAAGCTCATGGGTTGACTTAACATCGTGAAGATTTGATTTATACAAAGAAAAAAAAATCCTGTTGGACTGTGTGTCTATTGTTTTAAGTGACTCATTTAACTAGAGGCTACTATTCCATAATAAATTTGCAGTCATTAGTTACTCTGTACTTCTTTACATTTTTTCATTGTCAAATTTTACCCACACACTTCTGGTCACTGAGCAGTTATCAGCTTTTTTTATGTTACACTTCTTTGTCTGGCTCCAAAATAGAGTTCTTTATGGACAGAAAACCAAATCAAATATATTAAGATAATACACGTCTACCACTATATAATGCTGTCCTCGGGAGCCAAAAAGTCTTACCGCATTATAGGTGAAACTGCGTTATATCGAAATTGCTTTGATCTGCCAGTATGCACAGCCCCGCCCCCGCCCCCCCCGGAGTGCTGCTTTACCGCATTATATCCAGTCACGTTAGATTGAGGTAGAGGTGTACAATGAAGAACCATTCTCAAAATGTTTCCTCTATCTTTTTATGTAGGATGACTTCTGTTAGGATTATACATGATCAACATGCCCTTTTTATGACTATGCAATGTATTTTGTTTAGGATTTGAGGTACACATTGCTCTACCCCAAATTGCACAGCACAACAACATTTTCATAAATGAATTATCTTCTCCAAAACAAGAACAAAAAGCTGATCATGATAACTGATAGGTTCAAATAATCTACTTTGAGTGTCACTGATCAATGACAATTGTTATTGACTGACCGTATCTGACCAATTTGCCAAAATGGAAACTGTGATTTACCTTTTCCACCCTTCCCCTACTAGGCATCATAAAGAATAAATCAGGGACCAAATTATGAGATGTGCTTGTCCCTGTGCCTCAGTGGGTCACAGCTGAGAATACCAGATTCAGGATAAACTGCTGAGAAATAGGGCAGACTCACCTCAAACTGGTGGTTATTCTATCATTAGACTATACCAAGACAGTAACAAAGGTAAACTTCTGTCTCACCACACTGGTTAACAAGAGGTCAGAGATGCAGTCTCCTAAAGCATTCCAGCCCTTGTCTCACCACCCAGACACTGGACTCTATGATGAGTGGTTACTGAAAACCAATTTAATTAAATATAGGGTCCTTTTAATCCCAAGAGATCAGCCACTTAACCAGGTCAATATATAACCCGGATCTTACCAATAATCACCCTACTGCCAATCCTTTAGTAACTAAAATCTAAAGATTTAATAATAAAACGCAAGAAGAGAGTTATAAATGGTTAATAGATCATATGCATACAACCATTGCAAAGTCTTTATATCAGGTTTGTAGCAGTGATGGAATAGAGTGCTGGCTTGTAAAGTCTCTCTGGTAACTTCCAAAAGATTGGAAGGTCCTCAGTCCATATTCAAAATACCCCTTCTAGTTCTAAATCCACAGAATCAGAAAATCAGGGCAAGAAAGAGGCAAAATGGAGATATCTCAGGGGCCTTTTATATCCTCTGCCATGTGCCTGGAAATTTACCATCTCTGTTTGTGGAAAGTTATTGGGCTAAGATGGAGTCCAGGATCATGTGAGCATATCACATGTCCTTACATGCTTTAATGACTCAGAGGGGCAGCCATTGGCCATATTCTTGCTGATGCAGCTACAGGAAGAGCTTTGTGGAGAATTGATTCTTCTTAATGGCCCATCAGTCTTGAATAGACCATTCACAATGGGCTGGGAAGACTGTATGTAAAGTACCTTCTAGGTGTTACCCCAGGAACAAACACATTTGAGATACAGATATATAGCCAATATTCAAAACTTCAGATGTAGTGATGATACATGGATTTAGCCAGCATAATGGTATTTGCTAGACTGTAACTTTTTCATTGACACTTTACATGACACACTTTGTATAAGATTTGTTGCAATTGTAGAACAATGATACAAAGGGTCATTCTCAATCAGACAGCATCACAGTGCTGAACATCTGAATGTTCCATTGAAGTCAAGTTTTTGTGCGTGTGTGTGTTGTT